ATCTCCCATTCTTCTGCTCAAAGGGGATGAGAGATAAAAAGCTTTCACTAGCAATTACAGATAACTCCATCACCTCAAAAATAGAATGTAACACCACTCCTCAAGAGCACAACGATGAGCCCTTCCAGCAGAGAATATGATAGCTGCCTTCAAGTATCTGAAGAGTGTCATTTGTAAGAGATTGGACTTACTCTATATGGCCCTGGAGAGCAGAATTAGGACCTATGGGTGAAAATTCCAGAAAGGCAGATTTTAGCTCAATATGAAAAAGAACATTATGCTTCTGTTCCTTGGAGGTTGTTGACTTGTCATCCTAGCCATTAGAACCTTCCTAAACATAGCATGGTACAATACAAAGCACCCTGGATTTGGAATCAGAGTCCCAGCTCCACCATCTAATACCGTCATGACCTTCAGCAAGTCACTTTATGGCCTCAGTTCCCTCAAATGTAAAGTAAGGTAGTTGAACTCAATTACAACTAAAGTCCTTTATAGCATTAAATCTATGATCCCAAGTAGAATGGCTCTCCCTCAAGACAAGTCTCTAAGCAATGATTGGATGACTACTTTTTGGGTAAATTGTAGAATGGATTCTAATTCAGTAACTGTGTACTATGAGTACTCACTAACTCTGAGGGCTGTAGTACTGTCTTGTAGTTTCAAGAGCCTCTCATAAATGCGAATGTTCAAGAAGAGACTGGATGACCACCTGCCATGGAAACTGAAGAAGTGATCCTAGGGTCATAGATTTAGAGCTGAAAGATACCTTAGAGGTCAAGTATAACACTCCCATTTTAAAGATGAAGAAATTGAAGATCAAAGAGGTTAAGTGACTTACATAGGGTCACATACTAAGTATCAGAAACAGGATTTGAACTCAGGTCTTCTAGCTCCAACTCTGTTGCTCTGCCTTATTTCTATTGCTAATTCCCAATTTATCCAGTATATATTTTGTCTATGAGCTCCTTGAAAACTGTGATTGTCTCTTGTCTTTCTTTGTATCTCCAGAGCTCGACATAGTATACAATGACACAGTATACAATGACAATAAATGCTTACTGATGGACTGATCATATCATGGAGCCTCTGGGGCTCCTAAATTGGATGGGAAATTGTACTGCCATTTCTTTCTACTGTGAGAGGCTGTGATTTTGTAATGGCTTAGTATATTACTAGACTATGAACTCCATGAAAGCAAAGACAGTCATTTCAATTTTGTAACTCTAGTGCCTAGCACAGTGCTTTCAACAAAAGGCTGTTGACAGTTGTTGTCCTGGCCATTTGAACTATCCTAAACGTAGCATGGTACAAAATATTAAAAACAAAAATTTTGCCTGCCACATATTTTTGTATATATTTGTACATATTGTTTTTAATATTTTTGCAAAATTTTTGTTTTTAATATTTTGTACCATGCAGCATGCAAAGCATGCTGGGTTTGGAGTCAGAATTCCAGCTCTGCCATTTAATACCTGGGTGACCTTGAACAAATTATGTAGCCTCTCTAGGCTTCAGTTTCCTCTGTTATATAATGAGGAGATGGGACTATGCGTTTCGGCCTGTCACGGACCATCAAGGCCCCTTGAAAAGTGATTACTGAGGTTCCCAGACTAGGGTGAGAGCAGGCAGCAGAAGTGAGAAGTCTTCCAAAGTATACTCAAGCCCTTTGTGTCTTGGAGGGGCCTCTGACACACGGTATACTTGTCAATAGACAGATTCAGAAGGGAGCACAACTGTAGTGTTCTATTTTGTATTTCTTTTGTTAGGATAGGTGGCCTAGTGTAATGAAAGGAGAGCTGGCCTGGGAGCAGTGAGACCTGAGCCCGAGTCCCATCTTTGGCTGCTAGCTACATGCCGAGTGACCTTGGGCAAGTCACCTACACCCTTAGTGCTCTCACCAGCTTTCTGGCTATAAGTTGTAGAGAAGGTGCTGACCTCCATTTTAGGGGGAGTTTGTCTCCTCTGGTAGTTTCCAATACCAGTGAAATTACTGGTCTAGTTCCCATCCCCACCTGCCACATATTTTTGTATATATTTGTACATATTGTTTTTAATATTTTTGTATATATTTGTATATATTGTTACTAGTTCTGAAAAATGTAAATAGTTTACAATTTAGGCTTTTATTTGGAGACTTACTATTTACCCTAAACGTAGCTTGATTATTTACTGCTCTTTCTTGCAAATGTAAAGGTTATAACAATGATTTTTAAAAGCCTATTTCTTGCTTCCAGGGAAGCTCTGTGCTGTGTTTTATAGTTTATAGTCAAGAAATCTGAGTGATAGAGAGCCCTAAAGAGGTGGGGGGAGAGGATAAAAGGAGGCGACTGCAGGAGACAGGGTCATTCAGTGTTTTATCAGAAAGAACATTTTCCTGTTTATTTTTTCCCAAGCCTGGAATCCGAGTAGACGTCCTCTATCACGGACAGTAAGAGTTATTTATTTACAATTTCTTCCTGACAGTACTCTACTGCAGCTTGGTGCATTGGACAGAGCTTTGCGCCAGGAGTTAGGAGAACTGGGTTCTATCTCCAACTTTTGCCATTAACTTGCTGTGTGACCTTGGGTAAGTCATAACCCTCTCTCTCAGCCTTGGTTACTACCTCTGTGAAATGGGAGGAGTGAATTGGTACAGTGGGGGAGAAGGCTCTGGACTTGGAGTAAGAATTTTGCTTCTACTACTTACTCCCTGTTTGACCTTGGGCAAGTAACATAACCTTTCTGACCCTCAGTTTCCTTATCTGTAAAAAGAGGTAGTTGAGTTCCAAGATCCCTGTTAGGTTTCAAATCTGATGATAGTATAATTAGGGGATATTTAAGTTCCATTCCAGCTTAATGTTTTCTGGCCCAGGCTCGTTCCAGATGGTGGATGGGATAGTGCATTGTTTCTGTATGATGGGGTTGAGGAGGATGAAATGGAGGAGTTTGGAGAGAGGATGTTGGGTTCCACAGGCCCATAGTGGCATCCTAGGGGATTGCCTCCTCTTCTTAGAGCCCACTGAGGATGTTTGCCTTCAGCCCCCTTAGGGATTTCACCTCTCACTTATTAGCAAATTTCCTAATCCCTGAACCCCAGATCAAGGCTCTGAATCTCCTGACCTCCCTGGCATCTGAGCATTCATTCATAGCTCCCTGAATTACAAGATCTGCCAAATCTAAACCCTAACTACTAGGTCATCTCCTGGCACTTGAATCATGTCTGGGTGCCCCGGTCTTGGCATTCATGCCCCCTTTCCCTTTTCTTCTTCCATGAAAGACTACAAAAGTACATTTTCTTTGTACTTCTCCCCTATGTACATGTATGATAGCTGATCTTCCAGAATATGACCATACTCATCTATTTAAATGCTTATTGAATTAATCAAATTCAATCCAACAAGCATTTTTAAGCACCTATTATAATACAATTCAAACTTCCTGACAGCCATCCAAAAATAGAATGGGCTACTCCAACAGAAGTTGTGTTCCTGCTCCTTGGAGGTCTTCAAGCAGAAAATGAATGCACATATATTGGGTATATTATAGTGGGTATTCCTTTGGTGTATGGGTTGTTTTAGATGGTCTCTGAGGCCCCTCCAAATTCTCCGATTCTGTGAGATGGTGAGAGGCAATGTGCTAGGCCCCTTGCAATATCAGAACCTTGCCTTCAGAAAGCTGTACTTTCTGTACTGTACTGGGGGGCGGGGAGACACAATATGCAAACAGAAAAGCATATACAGCATGTGATAATTTTAGGTGTGAGATTGAACTCATGAGGGGCAATAATGAAAGGCTTCTTGTAGAAGGTGGCACAGCTGAAGCTTGAAGGAAGCTGGAAAGTCTGAAAGGTAGAGGTGATGAGGAATTATATTCTAGGCATTCCAGGGGTGAGTCTGTGTGAAAGTAGGGAGATGGGAAGTGGGATACCAACCTCAGGAGACAGCAGGTTGGCCAGTCTGATGGAAATGTAGAGTGTACGAAAATGTTTAATAAGCTTCTAAGGGTGGATTCGTGCTCAGGCTGCCCCTTGGAGGGAATCCAGTTCTTTGGGTCTTAAAGACTTTTCAGCATTCTCTATGGACAAGCCAATATACCTGGGAGTGAGCCTCGCCCAGAATGGGATTTTATTTAGACTCTGAGGAAGCTTGGAAAGGAGAAAATGGCTAGGAAGGAGAGGAAATGCATATATTACTCTATGGTACAATGGACAGAGCACTGGCTCAGGAGTCAGAGGTCTTGGGTTCAAATCCCATCTCTGACATTGCCAGTGTGGCCTTGGGAAAGTCACTTTTCCTCCAGAAGCCTGAGTTTCTTTATCTATAAGATGAGAGGCTGTGCACTATTGTTTGTAGAATAACTGTGAACGACTAAGTTATTCTGAGTGTTATAAATACATAAATCAACTACAAAAGACCAATGAAGAAAGATGCTATCCACCTCCAGAGAAAAAACTGATAAATAGAAGTATGCATAGTATGGTTTTACACATATATGTAAAAGTATGTATAGTATGATTTTACATATGTATAAATATACACATATGTTTTTATATGTGTATATACATATATATATATATATAGTGTGTGTGTGTGTGTGTGTGTGTGTGTGTGAGAAATGGTGGCCTTCTCTAATTCCGGGTGGGGCAGAGGGAGGGAGATAGTTCAGAACTTAAAGTGTAACAACCACAACAAAAAAACCCTAAGAGGCTGTGAGGTTCATTCTAGCTCGAAATCTATGATCCCATAACCTGCCCTTATCCTTACCTGGGCTTTAAGCACAGACACCAGCAGAAAGTCTCAGCTAAAGTCCCACCTTGAGCAAAAAAGTCTTTTCTAGTCTTTGTTAACCAGAGTTCCTTCCCTTTGAGATGACAATCAGTTTGTCATGGATGTTTCTTGCATGTACATAGTGGTTTGTAGGTTGTCCTTCCCATTAGAGCAAGGATTTGGTTCTTACCCTCCTCTGTGTCCCCAGAGCTTAGCCCCGTACGTGGAACATTGTAGGTGATCAAGAAATGCTAGTTGACAGTCAGGTAATCAATTTATTGGCCAGTTTTGAGGAGGGTACTCTGCCCCCAACCCCAAAATAATTGCAACCCGAGGAAAATATTTCAGAGAGCACTGGGGAGGGTACTCCAGAGCTTAATGGTATTTTTCTCTAAATCCTTATTCTGGGCAGAGATGGAAGATAGATAGAGGGAGGGATTTGAAGCTCTAATTCCTAATAGTTCTCTGTGGAGTTTTGGGGGTTGTGGAGAAACCAAATTCACAGGTAAGGAGATGGAATTAGAAATAGCAAAGTACTGTGCTGATAAAGGACTCCCCTCCGTCTCATCAAAGTCACCCCTCCACCCCCAGTCCCCTCCTGGGAGCTCCCTCCAGGCTCTTCTGGGCTTCAGCCTGGAGAGGAGGTGGGCAGGACTGAGCTGCTCAGGAATGCTCAAGGAAGCATTAGTGTTGAATGATAGATGGGAAGACATCCTGCTGACTGCTTGTGGAACCTCCCAGAAAAGGATCCCGTGGTCTGTGAGGACCAAAATCAGAGTGATATGACATTCCTAAAAGCAGATGACCAGTCACAGGTTCAGATGGAAGAATCAGAGGTCGGATGTCAGCTAGGCGTGGATTTGGTGTCTCCTAGACTTCAAAAAAATGTCCTGTAACACAAGGAAAGGGAGAAGGATGACTCCAGCCTCCAGACAAAATCTGGCTCACAATCAACCACAGCTCATGCATGTCTTTAGCAGAAGCCTTTCTCTCTCCTCTGCCTGTGGGTGCACAAGTCAGCTATGGACTCTGGCCCACAGATTGCAAGGGATGAGGAGAGCTAACTTTTGCTTCTTGTGAGATCAGGAAGGAGAGGATAGAAAGCAGGCCAAGAAAACCCCTTGGGAAACCAGAGATTACAAGTGACAGAAAACTTAAGGCCAGACCCACTCCCAGGACAGAGGGAGGCCCCCAGAGGCTGTCAGGGTGTCAGAGCAAAAACAGTGGGAGCGTATAGTCTTAACATTTTGTGAGACAGAAACGATAGGCTAAACCCAATGGCAGAAGGCTAAATTTTCCGAGCAGACTCAGCCCAGGGCCAGGTCATTGCTCATTCCCAGAATGCAGGCTTTAGGCTACACCAAACAGTGGTGATATACCCATTTGCCTGCTGGTTCTGCCCATGGGAACCCCCTGACATGGGGTGGGGGGCACAAGTCACATTCTATAGATCTGAGATGGATCTCCTGGCACAGGAGCAGGAATGGAGGGAGAAAAAACAAGAAACAGCATTTTTCATATAACCCAAGGCAGGAAAGGATGTAAGGAACACTGGTTCCAGTTCTTTGGACCAGCCTTGAAAAATTTTCAGATTTGATCCAGCTCTGGCTGGCATTTGTTGGCTAGAATGGAGACAGGGTACTTGGAAGAGGCCCCATTAGAGCAGGGATTATTTCCTTCTTTGTATTTGCATCACCAGGGCTTGGCACACAGTAGGCACTTAATACATATGTGTTGAATGACTGATTGTACCCCAAGAGCAAGGACAGTTCATTTTCCATGTGTCAGTCATATCAGGATTTGATAAGAAACAAGCCCATTATATTTTTAATTGGGGGGAAGATACAGGCAGCATTTTTATCAACGGTGCCAATGCTGCCTCTGCCATGTTTTGTGGCACTGTTTGTACCCAACACGGAATGGGGTAGCAAAGGCCAGAATTCCAGGCTGCTATTTCAGCTCAGATCAGGGCCCACATGGCAGAGATAAGCATGACACTGGCCATGAGTTGGAAGATGGGGTTAGGATAGGACTTCCAGGCCCCTAGCACATGGCATAGATGGGCAAAGTTGTGTTGTTCTCTTGATCATCGTGGCCATGTCAGATATGAACCAGCAACCCGTCCTCGGCCAAACATCTGCCTCAGAGGCACGTTTGGGGGATGTGTCGGGTAGTACCAAGAGTGTTTGGTGACTCAGGCAGCAGTCCAAAGAACACTCTGCCGACCTGCGCAAGATGAGAGGTTGGCAGCAGAATGACTAGCCTTGGAAGGACTGTCTATTCACCATGAGGGAATACTTCGGGGGCTACAGCTGCAGGAGAAACCCATGTCTGTGCACGGGGGCGCTGCCTTCAAGGCTCTTTCTGAGTGGCTGGGGGCTGCTGTCTGCAGAGGAGGGAAGAGAAGAGCTACATACGGAGAGCAGGAAAACACACAAAATAGCGACTCATGTTATTTCCTTCGGTCTGGTTGATCTTTTTGCAGGTGCAGCCCCTTCTTTCCCCAACCCCCACCCAATGTCAAGTACCATTCATCTTTCCAAAAGTTTAGAAAGACAGAGGGGCTTGAATGATGCTAGCCTCCCTAAGACTTACTGAGGCATTGAGTCATCAGAGACAGGATCATGGCATTGGAGCTCAGAGACCTTAGAAGAGCCTTTGGTCCCACCCATTTCATAAGGCCAGGATCAGGAAATGACTTGCTTAAGCTCCCATAGCTATTAAGTGGCTGAGCCATCACTGGAGCCCAGACTTCAAATCCAGAGCCCTTTCCATGATAAGAGGTTGTTTTTGTTCGAATGTCAGTTTTGGGATTAATGATGGATGTCTGATGTTGAAATAAAATGTGATTACGGTGTATCTGTACTGCAATGGTGTCTACATGCAGGAGTCAGAGAGACAGGGCACCAGATTTCTAAGGAGAGAATCAAAGACAAATGTAATAAGGAGAAAGAGGAGGGAAGGAGGAGAAGTGGAATTGAGAGAGGAGAGGAGGGAAGGCAGGAAAGGGGAGGGAGAGTGAGGGAGAGGGAGAAAGAGGTGGAGAAAGAGGGAAAGGGAGAGACGGGAAGATGGAGAGTAGGATGGAGGGAGAAGAGAAAAGAGTGAGACAGGGAGGGGAGAAGGGATGGGAAAAGGAGGAAAAAGGGGGTGTAGAGGTAGGGAAAGAGAAGAAGAGAGGAAAGTCAGAAGGGAAAGGGGGAAAAGGAGAGAGAGAAGAGGAGGGAAGAAAAAGAGTGGAGGAGGAGGGGGGAGGGCTTGAGTGAGCAAGCAAGGGATAGGAGTGTCCTTATATATGGAGCTTGGACCATGGCCCCTCTGACCCTTGGGCAAACATGGAGGTATTGCAGAGTCATTTGCAAAGTGCAGGACAAATCTTTAAGCTGGAAGACTTTATGGAGATGATGGGACCTCAAGATATTCCCAAGAAAGCAAGGTATATGAGGAAGCCCGAATTGGGGGGGGAGAGGGCGCACTTTTTTCTTGCTCTTGTAGGTTTATGTGAAGGCCTATTGGGTTGCAGGAAGTGGTCAGAGGAAAGACTCCAACAGGGACTTACAGTTCATCGTCGTACTCCTTGGGTGGGGACACTGCAATGACCAAATCGATCCAATCCTGGAGGGAGAGATGGGAATTACTCTGGACGCACAGTTCCTGTTGCCCTGACGATGTGGACGAGGCATTGCCCAGTGCCTATCCCATCACTTACACCTTCCCCCAAACAACAGCAGGGACTCTTCCATACACCCTGTAATCATTATTCACAACTCAAAATATCAAGTACCATTCAAAATGACCAATTTTTAAAATCATGGGACCTATATTTGGTGGCTACTTTTGAAGTCATCTGATCTAACCCTTTGGTTAGATGTGGAAACTGGGGCCCAGAGATATCAAGGGGCCTGCTCAGAGGTAGTAAGCAGAGAGTGGAATCTAAGCTGGGCCTTTGACCTCCCACTCAGTGCTCTTTCTACTGCTTTGTGCTGCCTCTGGCATAGGCCTGGGTAACCCATTTGTCTCTATGATACTTCAGAACCCAGGAACTCAAAACCCATTGGTGACATACTCTCTGATCTCAGAGCTCTCTTGGGTAATAGGTACGGCTCTGCCTCTGTTCCTATAAATGATTATCTATTGCAGACAGGTGTTCCTTCTATGTTTTCTCACTGGGAGGAAAAGGGAGATTTACTCTCTGGGGAAACTGACAGGTCTTGGGCAGCTTATCCCTTAAGGGAAGGATTTTGCTATTTTGAGAGATGTATTTGGTGGGGGGTTGCTGGTGTCTTGTGGGATACTAGTGATGCTGTGATGCCTGAGATCTTGAACACTACCTTGTGCCTTAGAGTACACACACAATGAAAGATGTTGACCTCACTTCCAAAGGCCAAATGTATATGAGTGGGTAGATAATAGAGTAGGTATCAATCAATAAGCATTTATTAAGTGTTTACTAGATGCCAGGCACTGTACAAAGCAAAAGCAAACGCAAAAATCGATCCTTAACCTCAAGGAATTTGACAGCCGGGTGGCCCAGTGGATAGAACTCTGGACTTGGAGTCAGGAAGACCTGAGGTCAAATCCAGCCTCAGACACTTTCTTTCTGTGTGACTCTGGGCAAGTGACTTAACCTACATCAGTCTTAATCTCCTCATCTGTAAAATGGGGATAGTAAGAGAACCTACCTCCCAGGGAGGATCGAATGGGCTAAGGTGTGTAAGATGCTTAGCACACCTTAAATTACTGTAAAAATATTAGCTACTATTATTGTTATTATTATTACATTCTAATGTAAGGATAGGGACTATTCTTACCCCGCCCTGGTTCCAGGCCTTCTGTAGGGTTGCTTGGGCCTCTGCCAAGGTGAAGTCCATTACAATCTTACCATTAATTGCCATGATCTCATCACCTTTCACAATGCCACCTGGTAGGGAAGACAGAGACAAGACATGGCTTTTTAGCCAACAGGAGATATTCTCCCTCCTTCCCCTCACACATATGACAAGGCTCCAGCCCTTGACTACCCAACTGGTCCTCTTCAAAAACAAAGGATCAACAATGTCAGCACCCCAGGCACAGGGCAGGGCTCTAATCAAGCAATTTTGTCCCCGCTTTCTGTGCCCTGTGGAAGCAGCCCAGATGCACTTCAGATGACCAGCCCTGGAAAGATTCTCTAGAGAAGTAGACACAGAAAAAAAATGAGGTCAGAGCAGATAGGATGCTTCTTAGCTGTGTGATTATGGGTAGATCACCTCTGTGCCTCAATTTCCTCATTTGGAGAAGGGGTGGTGAGAATGTTGTGCAAAGTCTAATGGTGGAGGCCATGGGTTGGCTGTGCCTTTCTTATAGAGGAAACAAGAAACCAGCAATAACTAGGCCATGAAAACATTAGGGATATTTGGTCAAAAAAACTGCAAAGGAGGTAAAATGTGCCCAGCCTCTCTCTTTTTTTTTTGCTTTTTGGTGAGGCAATTGGGGTTAAGTGACTTGCCCAGGGTCACACAACTAGTAAGTGTCAAGTGTCTGAGGTTGGATTTGTAATAATAATAAGTCAGGTCCTCCTGACTCCAAGGCCATAACTCTATCCACTGTGCCACCTAGCTCCCCCAGCTTCTCTTTTTGAGCCCTTCTTTGAGCCCCCCTTGCTGGGGTGCCTTTCACCTCAAGGCACAGGATACCACCTAAGTCCTAGTAGGGCCCTGATTTCAGTTGGGAATCATACCATCATGGAGTGGAAAGAGAAATAATTTACTCTAACTCCCTCATATTACAAGGGAGGAAACTGAGGCCTAGAGAAGGACAGTGATTCACCCAAGGTCACACAGGTAGCAAGCAGCAAAGGTGGGATTCAAAGTGGAGTCCAGTGACTTCAGATTCAACACTCTTCCCCAAGGCCTATCTAGCTTACTGGATTGATCTATTGATTCGTCCTATGCCCAAAGGACAAAAAGGACCATCACGAAGAGCATCAGAGGAAAGAATTTCTCATTGAAGTTGATTAGCAACAATTGAAGGTACCCCTCTATCCCTGCTAAGGCCTGGGATCCTGCTAGCTACCCTTATCTTAATCATTTCACAAGGAAGAAGGCTCCAGTGCTGGAGACAGAGGCCTTGAGTTCATACCCCAACTCTGATGCTTAATACTAGGGTGACCTCAGGCAAATCACTCAGTTTCTCGGGGCCTCAGTTTCCTGTCTATCATGAGGCATTTGGCCTAAATGGCCTTTGAGGTCCCCTCCACCTCTAGAGAAAAGATACTCTGACCCTATCTGTTAAATGAAGTGTTTGGACCAGATCAGCATTCTGGACTTTTTTAAGCCTACAGAACCTTCTCAGAAGAATGTTTTTAAATACATAAAACAAAATACATAAGATTACAAAGGAAATTAGTTATATAGTTATCCAGGTATTTTTCAAAAGAAGTTAACAGATCCTAGGTTAGGAACTCCTAGATTTGTAGGCTACCAGATTCTTTATTAGGGCAGCTAGGAGGTCCATGGATAGAGTGCTGGACCTGGAGTCAGGAAGATCTGAGTTCAAATCCAACCTCAGACACTTATTTAGCTGTGTGACCCCGGGCAAGTCACTTAACCCTGTTTGCTTTAGTTTTATCACCTGTAAAATAAGCTGGAGAGGAAATGGCAAACCACCCCAGTATCTTTGCCGGGAAAACCCCAAATGCGGTCACGGAGAGTTGGACAGGACTGAACAACAACAAAGATTCTTTGTTAGGGAAACATTATGTCCTTAGTGAAAGGGAGAGGGGAATCAATAGGAAAAGGGGCCTAGAAAGGGAGACATACTTTATCCCTTTTTGTAGTTTTCTAAGGGCTCTTCTAGTTGTGACTCCTGAGTATCGATTGGGAGCCTACTGTGCGGTAGGTGCTGGGGAAGGAAGATGAGGCACCAGAGAGGGCAGGGGACTTGGAGACAGGAGGACCTGGGTTAACATTTCACCTCTGACATTTCCTAGCTGTGTGACACTGGATATGTCATTTAATGTCAGTGAGCTCCAGCTTCCTCATCTGGAAAAGGAGGCTAGTCATGCCGGCAGGACCAGCCTCCTAGGGTTATATAGGGCTCTGAGGAGATAACTTATGGGAAGGGCTTTACAGGTTGTAAAGCTTCATATAAATGGCAGCTGTTTTTACTAGAACAATCCTCAGAGCTCATTATGTGCTTACCGTGTCCTAGGGGAGGAATAACAACAAATGATGTCACTTAAACATGATAAGCGCCATAACAGAGGGATAGCCAAAGAGCTATGGGAATGGAGTGGAGGGAGAGGCCCCATCCTGTTATGGGGTTGAGGGGATCAGGGAAGGATTCATGGAGGAGGTGGCATTGGAACCAAGTCTCAGAAAGTTGCGGGGGCTGCTAGGTGGCACAGTGGATAGAGCACTGGTCCTGGAGTCAGGAGGACCTGAGTTCAAATCCAGCCTCAGAAACATAACACTTACTAGCTGTGTGACCCTGGGCAAGTCACTTAACCACAATTGCCTCACCCAAAAAAAAAAAGTTGGGCAGGAAAAAAAAATAAAGCAAACGATGGGCAGGATTTTGATATACAGAGATGGAGAAAGGCTTTCCATGTGGAATCACCTTTCTCAGGCAGCTGCACATACTGCCTACATATGAGGCCGGCCCTCAGTAAACTCTAGGTGATGGTGGTTTTCTTCTCCATCCCCCAACATGGCCCCCACAATGCTTACCGTGACGATCAGCAGCCCCGTCTTCATACACAGCAGACACTACAATTTTCCCAATGGGGGAATCGACACCACCTTCAACAGCCAGATCTAATGACCCTTCCTGAAAGAGGTAGAGAAAGAGGATGGGACACCTGGAGACCAGTAGCCTGTGAGTGCTGGGTATGTGGTGATGGAGCACAGACTCAGGGCTGAAAGAGACCTTTGAGGCTATCTGGTTCAACCTCTTATGGGGAACAAAGGATGGTGCAGTGGGTAGAGGGCCAGGCCTGGAGTCAGAGAGACTCCTCTTAGTGAGTTCAAATCTGGCCTCAGACACTTGCTAGCTGTGTGACCTTGGGCAAATCACTTAACCCTGTTTGCCTCAGTTTCCTCATCTGTAAAATGGGCTGGAGAAGGAAATGGCAAGCCACTCCAGTGTCTCTGCCAAGAAAACTCCAAATGGGGTCATGAAGAATTAGACATGACTGAAAAACAACTGAACAACAACAGTCCAACTCCTTAGGGGCTGGTGGAGAGAGTGCTGGGAAGACCTGAATTTAAATTTGGCCTCAGATTCTCGATGGCTGTAAGACCCTGAGCAAGTCACTTCACTGCTGCCTGCCTCAGTTTCTTCAACAATAAAATAGGAGTATTCATAGCATCCACTGCCCAGGGTTATTGTGAGGATAAAATGAGGTAATAAGTGTAAAGTACTTAATATTGTCCCTGACGCATAGTAGGTGCTTAATAAATGCTTGTTTTCTTCCTTCATTTTTACAGATGAGGAAACTGAGGCCCAGCAAAGTTAAGTGACCCATCCAATGTCCCAGTAGTAGTCCTTTGACACCAGTAAGTCAACAAGCATTTATTAAGCACCTACTATGTGCCAGGGACAGTACTAAGTGCTGGGGATATAAAGAAAGGCAAAAAACAGTCCTTGCTCTCCATATGAGTTACATTCTAAAGGAAGAGATGACCTGTAAGAGACGTACATACAAGATACACACATGTATGTGTACACACATACATATATATATGTACACGCACACACACACATACACACAAAACAGTCTCTGCTCTCCATATGGGTTACAAAAGGGAGAGGTGACCTGTAAGAGATATACATACAAGATACACACACACACACATACACACACACACACACACACAGGTATGTATATGGTATATGTAGGTAATCTGAAGGTGGAAGATATTAGCAAGCAGGGAAATAAGTCCTTTCTGCATGTGCTATGTTTCCCTTGCCTAAGACTCTGAGACCCTCTCTTCAATGGGGCTGGAGTTTGGGGTGGGGGTGACAACACAGAAGAGCATTAGTAATAGCAACACCAAGTGTTGTATCCTTGCAGAGATGGCCCTGGATGAGTGACCACTCTAGGCACTTCCATATGAGGCCAGGTGGGGGTGGGGCCTTAACTCAGTAATGTGGCAGAGAACAAATCATGCACATTTCTCATTATCAGAAGCTTCATGGGGCTTTTGACTTCTCACTGGGAGAGAATCAGGCTGCAGTGTTTGTACTTTCTTTAATAGAAGAGTCACACAACCAGTCAGAATTAGAAGTATAGAACACAATATGTCTTAGTTGAAAGGGACCTTCTACCCCAAACTCTTCATTTTACAAAGGAGGAAACTGAGGACAGGAGGGAGGAAGGGAGACCTGGGTTCTGATTCTACCTCTGAAGCTAACTTAATTTGTGACCTTGGGCAAATCAGTTAACTTTTTTTGGCCTCCATTTTCTCATCTGTAAAATGACTGGGTCAGACTAGGAATATCTAAGGTCTGTTCTAGTTTCAACACCCTACTATTCCATGGCCTGGTATAGGGCCTTGCACATAGGTGGTGCTTAATGAACATGTGTTGAATTAAATGTAATTATGTGACTTTTTGGTGGTCACATAATGGTGGAGACAGGACTTGAACCCAAGACCATTGATCTACTCTGCAAATATAATTTTTGTTACTTGGTTTTGTATACATACATATATACATACATACACACACAAATATTGCTTCCCACTTTAGAATGTAAGCTCCTTGAGGTCAGGGACTGATTCTGACTTTCAGCACTTAGTATGGCACCTGGCATATAGTAAGTGCTTAATAAATATTTGTTAACTGACCCTATAACCAATGGAAATGCTAATAATAACTTCATAATACCATAGATTTAGAGCTGGAAATGACCCTTGAGGTCATCAAGTATACCCCTTCATTTTAAAGAAGCCAAAAGAGATGAAATCACTTGCCCAGCATCACATCAGTGCTCAGTGGTGGAGCTAGAATTTGAGCCTAGATCCATTGACTCTAAGTTGGTATGGGGAAAAGCATTTATTAAGCACCTACTATGTACTGTGTTGTGTCGTTTCGGTTGCGTCCGAATCTTTGTGGCCCCATTTGTGGTTTTGTTGGCAAAGATATTGGAGTGGTTTGTCATTTCCTTCTCTAGCTCACTTTATAGAATATATGTATATATATGCATATATATATCTATGAAGGAAGATATATATAGTGAGGAATATCTATATAGTGAGGGAAATTATATATGTGTATATGTATGTATATATACACATACATATATACATATATATATAAATATAAATGTAAATATGTATATAAATATATTATGTATATAAATATAAATGTATATGTGCATATACACATATATACACACAATTGTATATATATTGTGTGTATATATATTATATATATATAAATGTAAATGTAACTGAGGCAAATAGGGTTAAGTGACTCGCCCAGGGTCACACAGCTAGTAAGTGTCTGAGGCTGGATTTGAACTCAGGAAAGTAATAAATCTTCCTGACTCTAGACCTGGTGCTCCATCCACTGTGCTACCTAGTTGCCCTTGTTATTTTACAAATATTTTTTCATTTGATCCTTACAATAACTCTGTGAGGTAGGTACTCTTATGATTCCCATTTTACAGGTGGAGAAATTGAGGCTGACAAAAATCAAGTGACTTGCCTAGGGTCACACAGCTGGTAAGTGTTTAAGGCTGGATTTGAACTCAGGTCTTCCTGACTCCAGGTCAAGTGCTCTATCCACTGTATCATCTAGCTCTTCCTACTATACCACTTTTGTATCTCCAACATTTAGGATAATGCCTTGCACATAGTAGGCTCCTAGTAAATGTTTATTGATTGACTAATACTGGTAGTAGTAGTAGTAGTAGTAGCAGCAGCAGCTCCTATTTATATAGCACTCTTACAGTTTACAAAGTACTTTCTATGTGCTTCTTCGCTTAGTACATTTTGAGAAACCCTCACGTTACCCTCCAATCTGTAGGGTGATACCAAACTGCAGGAGTGGATGGAATAGGTAAGCTGCCCAGATCAAACACTTTCTTTGAACATTAACTGTGAAAAAAAGTTAAATGATTTGCCCAAGCTCCCATAGTCAGTGACAGCTTTGAGGGACCCTGCTCCTGGAGCAGGGCTCTTTCCACTCAATCATACTGCCCTCTGGGTTTCAGGGTATTTTTTTTTTTATGGGAAAAAATAACTAGGGGAAATGAGCCGATCACTATCAAAAAACAGTTCTACAGTTTAAAGGTTCAAAGACCTCCAGAGACCCCGCCTCCCGAAGGATCCCAAAATAGAAACAACTGGCGTCAGAAGGGTCCCAAGAGCCCAAGGAGAGCAGAGGCTGGATTCCCACCTTGAGCTCCCATCTGGACTGTAAGCAAGAAAAGGGGCTTCACCATCCCCACGTCATTAAACTACAGGATCCTAGAAGTGGACAGGATGGCAGAATTAATCAAATCTAGCATCTTCCCAAAGCATTAATAGATGAGTGGTCAACTACCCTCTGTTTATATTACTCAGCAACCAGGAGGAACAGTGCACAGAGTGATAGACCTGGAGTCAGGAAGAACCAATTCAAATCCAGCCTCCTGCACTTAATGGCTGTGGAACCTTGGGCAAATCATTTATTCTATATTTGCCTCAGTTTCCTCAGCTATAAAGTGGATATAATAATAGCACCTACCTCAAAGGGTTGTGAAGATCAAATAAGATGATATTTGTAAAGCACTTAGAACAGCGCCTGCCACTGCACATAGTAGGTGCCATATAACTACTACTACTACTACTACTACTACTACTACTACTACTTCTGCTGCTGCTGCTGCTGCTGCTGCTACTGCTACTGCTGCTACTACTACTACTATTACTGCTGCTGCTGCTATTGCTGCTGCTACTGCTGCGACAACTACCACTAGTACTATTGATGCTGCTGCTGCTGCTACTGCTACTACTCCTTGTTTTCTGTAGAGGCCCAGGATAAACTTTGTCATTAATGCCCTTGCCAGAGCATGTAAGATAAACAAAGAGGGAAATAGAAGACAGAGCTTAGTACACCTTTTGAGCACACAATAAGCGCTTAGTAAATGCTTGTTTAAAAACAAAACGGGAAGACGGAAAGAAGGAAGGTGATCCAACCCAGTCCAGATCTGAGGGTCCCAGGAAGGCCTTTAATCTGCTTCTTTAGGGTTTTTATTGGAAAGGAGGGGAGGAGGCTAGAGCTCAGCTAATCCTCCCCATCTCCACCCCAAAGGAGAAAATTCATCTCATCCTCTTCACGTGGCTTCTAGTACAAGGACGTCCCAGTTCAGTACTGCACCATAATAATGGGGATGGTTGGATGGCCCAAGGATTGGGAAAGGAGGACTTTCACTCCATCACAAAGCATGCCATGAGACACTTGAGGAAACACAACCACAGCCTGAAGGGGAGTTGTCCTTCCAAGGGTAACACCATTGGACATGACCTTACTTGGGTGACAGAGTGGAGGGATTTGTCTGCAGATTAGGAAGCTACTCATGTCTTCTATTTATAAGAAAAGTGTGGCTGAACTGGGCAAGAGGAAGGTAGAAGTTTCTCTCTGCCTCAGGGGCAGCATGGTGGCCACAACGTGGTTGTCATTGGACGTGGCGGAGGAGACCCCTACCCAGGTGGCTGTATTACCTTTTTAATTCGTAGAAGCCGGACATCTTTCCCCGTGATCTGCTCTGGGAGGAACTGGAAAGAGAGACAGTATGGGACCCTTGAATATTAATGGAAAAATTGGATGGGGAAGAGAAAGTTTCAGGTAAGGGAACATGGGGTTTCTTGAATAAGAAGCCACAAACGTCTCAAAGACCCGTGCATACATACCCCCCACCTCCAACGTACTCAGTCATGATGCTTGATCTTCACTCCAGGATCACATTAAGTGATTACTAACCCCTTTAAGCCCTCCGTAGGCAGTTACATATACAAGATCATTCAGATTACAAACTGTGCATCCCCACACACACCAGCTGGACCGCGAGCATTGAGTATGGGATAGGAATGCTTTCCAGGTTCAGGGCTCTCTGGCAGGCAGTTAACACAGACCTTACCTTCACATTCCTACCTGATCTTTCTAGGGAGCACGTGCATCACTCTGACTCAATTTCAGCAGCCCTTGTAGATCACCTCAAACCTGGGCTGACCTTTCTTACTCATCTCTCCTCCTCCCTCCCTCCAACCTCCCAAAGGGCATCTGTTTCTTACCATGGAATAAGGGTTAAAGTCTTCCTCATATTTCCTGAAATCCTGGAGACAAAGAAAGGAATTTAGGGGGTATATTATTTCTCACAGGGCATGGAATTCGGAGCAGACGGAGCTCCAAGTACAGTGAAGCAAACTCAGTAATGGAAGGAGAATGAGAAAAGGATGCGCACACCATACGGTGGGGAAGAAGGGTGGCAGAATCAAGCACCAAGCAGAGAGGCCTGGACCTACGGGGGTGGGGGGGAAAGGCCAAGTTTTATCCCCCTCACAGGCAGAGCAGCCCCGACCTCACTAAGAGCTGGGGGAGAGGAGGTGGGCCAGGAAAATAGCATATCCTAATGAGGAAAATGATGTCAGACTCAAATAGAAAAGGGGGCCCCTAATCCATGCATAAGGACCCCTGCTGGCTGCATAGACTTAATTTTTAAAATGTAATGTTACCTAGGTTTTATTTGTATTGTTATTTATTTTAAAAATATTTTCCAGTTGCATTTTAGTCTGGTTCTGGCCTCACTGGAGAATGTTGCCAGCCATAGGTGGTCTTGGAGCCTTGTGTTTGACAGCTCTGATGTAAGGGATACCAGGAAGACCCTCTTGCCCAAAGATACTTCCCCCAAAGTGCCTCAGAGAGACTTAAATTCCACTATTAGAGACTCATTCCTTTAGCTGTGGAAGGGTTTTCAATCTTGGAGAGTCCTGAGCACAGAACTCAGGTTACTAAGAAAGGTAAGCACTTTAAGGCCTTTATCATAGGGACAGTAAGGACCACTAGCTCCTATTAGAGTTATCTCTCCACTTATGAGACTGTAGCTCCGACAGGGGAGGTACCCTGTGTTATCCATAAAGCTCTGGACTCCTGACCCAGCTGTGCACATTATAGACACTCAGTGAATGTCTGTCGAATAAACAAACATCTGAATGGCTGGTAGTTTTTATAAGATGTTTTCTGATAAATAAAACCACTTTGTGGAGAAAGACTTCCTAGGGACAGATCCTTGGGGGAATATTCTCTGGGCTAAGGAAAAAGAAGAAAGGACACAGCCTGAGAATAGTATGTATTCAATTGAATTAAGTTGAACAAACATTTCTTAAGAGCAGTTTTTCTGGAGCAGAAGACATGGAATTTTGATATCTCTGCTCTCATGGAGCTTAGTCTAGGGAGGGAATAGAATAAATGGGATTTGGTTGTCTTTGAGATCAATGGACAACAACCAGGATAAATATGATATATACACAGGTAAATGTAATATAAAAGCATACGTGCATGACTGAAAAAAAGATGAGCTGGCCACTTGGCAAGAGTGATGGATAACTGATGAATAGAACATGGACTTCATTGTTATCTTAGTAATGCCAAGAAAACTTTAAGTCCCTACCACCCCATGCCCCTGGACACTGGGTGGTCTCCTGGGGATAAACTCATGGGAAGACATGGATGAGAATTTTACAAGATGGGCCAACCTGGGTGGGTAGTGATCTGCATTGTTGGAGGAAACAGCCACAACAGAGATTAGTGGAGTATAAAAGTTCACTTAATGTACATTGCAAATAATCCAAAGCAGGCAGTTACATGTTACCAATGATGCTTATAGAAGAGAGTGGATTAGAAGGCATCATCAGAGGCATGAATTATCAGAAGAGGAGGGGTCCAGTCATATAATGAGGAGGCAACAGATAAATAGCACACACGATGCACTGTGAGACAAAGATGGACCATCTACATTTATTAAATATAAAAATTTCTTATTGGTTCAAAGCCTCATTTGTTTTGATTTCTGCCAGTCCATTGGGTGTTTCCAGTGGTCCTAATCAGGCTGACTTCTGATGAGATCATGGTTAAGACTCTAGAGTGGTGTGAGAGGGAGAAGCATATGACAGAAGGAGATCACACTATCTCCTCTCTACTCTTATGTTCTAATGTGGGAGAAAGGCTTGGTTTCCTGGGGTACTGCCGTTGGATAGCAAAGCAGCCTTGGAGAAAATGGTCTGAAGTCTTTGGGGGAAAATGGATCATATACCTCAATGAAAACACATACACACACAAATCCAAATCCCATTCCTCCTATACAGAAAATAGAGAAGAGAAAAATTGTCCTAGCCTGGGGCTAGCCCATTTCTTAATGGGATGAAACTTATCAGTGTTGAGGTCTCTGGAAGGAGTTGAGGCTGACCTGATGGGAGACTCGATCAAGAAAGAAGGGATAAACACCCCAGCAGAGGACTAAAAAGCCTAGGGGGAGGAATCACTGGGCGCCGGCAATTATGGCTGGTGACCAAACAGGCAACAGGTGCCTGGATTTAGAAATCAATAAGGCCAGAGGAAGAGTTGATGTGCAGACAGACATCCAGGTGGAAGTATGTAGAGTAACTGAGAAAGCACTGCCCCGTAGAATCATCCATAAACCTGGATGAATAATGTCAGATTTCGTAGCAGAGGGGTGTGGCCCTGAACTGGAAGTTTGGAGACCTGGAATCTTGTCTTGGCTCGGCTACTAACTGTGTGAACCTATCTGTAAAGTGCGAGTGTTAAAGTAGATGGTCTGTAAGGTCTCTGGCATTCTATGATCAGAGAGGGGAGGGAAAGGGAGGGGGATACCTCTATTCTTTTTCATAATTCAGTGCACGGAAAGAACTGTCCTATTTACTAGGAATCAGCAAAGCCTTTCCTTAGTTGAGTCTGTGACAATGTAGACTGATGGTAGCCCAGTTTTAGTGTGCGGATGTGTGAACATATATACACATATGATCTCGGTCTCCAAAAAGAAGATTTTTCAAAGGGATACAGAGAACTCCTGGGAGGTCTGCCCTTCCTTCCAAAAAGAGATGCTTCTTTGGTTGATGAGGTCAGACATTCTATTTAGTCAACATTTATTGATCTTTTTGGTCAATTTGATGACAATTTGAGTCAATTCTGGATGGCTACAGGGGCAGCCCATTCATAACATTCCCACTATCTTCTTCACATAGTAGTCAACTAATAACTGTTTGGTTGACTGATTTCATTTTGTGTATTTACTTGGCTTCAGAATTTCTTTTCCTCATATTACCCATCAGTGTCCATTACCCTTTTTTAAACAACTCATTTCCTCCTGCCTCATTCAGTAGCTAAGAGGGAAAGCCATGGCCTCAAGATTGGTCTTCTGGTTTCAGGATGATGGACATTAGGTCCTGATTCTGAGAGCAGCTATCTGTCTCTGAGCATCAAGGTCAGAGCTAGATCACATGTGGACACTGCCAATTGGGCTCAAACCATATTAGAGAGGGCTGATGATCAGGTTACAAACAACAAAATCCCAGCCTTCCTTCATTCACAGAAACGAATGATGGTGATGCCTCTCAGCAAGAGCTCACAGAGGAAAGAAACAACCAAGAATCCAACTATCTCCCAGGGAGAAATACTTTAGATAAATGGAAAGCTCTACAGTTGGGCTAGACACATCCATAGCACAAGTTCACAGTTCTTGTGAAAAAGATCTGGGGGCTCTGATGGAGTACAAGTTCAGTACGAGTCAACAGTGAGACATAGCAACCTGCTCCCTCCCCCTAACTAATGTAATATTAGGATCTATGAAGTGGTTGCCAAGCTGGTGGAAGATGCCAAACCAGGAGATGTGCTGTCTGTGGGCAGAGCCCGGAATGAGGCCCTGAGTGGGATGGTGGCTGAAGTCTCAGAGACAGAGTGTCCAAACAAAGGAGGTGAAGGCCATGTTATCAGACCTTATCTGGGGTATTGTATTCAGTTGTTGGAGTATTTTAGTAATGAATGACAAATTGGATTGCTTCCAGAAGAGGGCACGCAGGATAGCTAGGAAACTAGAAACCAGAAAAAAATGAAAATCATTTGAGGGAACTGAAGCTGTCTGGTGCAAAAAGAAGATTTAGGGGGAAGTCATAATTTTTAAGTACTCGATGGCCTGTCGTATGGAAGAATGATTAGGCCTGTTAGACTTGGCCCCAGAGAACAGAATTTCCGTAGGAGTGAACAGTCCCCAGAGGCAGATTTGAGCTCAGATTAAGGAAGAATTTCTGAATCATTAGGCCTCTTCCGAGATGGATTAGGCTTCCTCATTAGGTAGTGAGTTTCTCAAGTGGAGGTTGGGGTATCTAGAGGTATTGTAGAAGGAATTCCTATTCAGGTTGAACTAGAATCCCAGAATCCCAAGGATTCTATGTGACAGAAGCAGCAGGCCAATTTCCTCCCTGCCCCCATGCCTACATATGCATTCCTTCCCTGTCCCCATATTGTCCACAGCTGTGGGTCTCCTGACCATTCACAAGCAAATAGACATTGAGGTTTCTAGCCTTTGCTAAGAGGCTCCAATGCGTCTTGGCTGCCAGACTAAGACTGCATGGGAATCCCAGTGATCCCTATTGCTGGGCATTTAGGATAGCTCAGGACTATCCCATCTGGACAGAAACAAGATAGGCAACACTTGGGGAAAGAAGAATAAAATATAGAGCTTTTTTACTTTTCTGAACGGTGACTGGTAAACCACCATCCTCTTCAGCATCTCCTGCGGCTGCCAAAGAAAAGAACATTGCCAAATCAGACGTTAACCACTTGGCCCTCTCCACTGGTGTGTGTGTAAATAAAGGCCTGCCTGCCCCCTAGTGTCAGATGCCCATTCCCCAACCCTTCTGGGTGTGGCCCAGCTCAGGGGCAGCCCCTCCTCCCAATGGCCATTGCTGAGGTCCCTGGGTCCTGGCCAAGGGCACGACCACTCCTAAAGACAATTTTCTTACTTTGATCAAAGCCTGATTTCTTTTGTAGTTAGACTGATTTCCTCCAGGCTCTGACCTATGTTAATCCACAAAGCTGCCCAAAGTTATGTAAGTAAGAGAAGGAGATATCACTGAATTAATTGGCAAACATGAGGCCTATGTTTAAAAAAAAAAAAAAAGCTTTCATGTACCAAGTGAACTTTTCTCCTCTGGTAGCTGGTACTACAACTTAAACCAAAAATAATCTAAGTGATGATACATAACCTTTCCTGACATTTGGGTAGGGTTTCTTTGGAAGTTAAACAGAAAATGCTTTCACT